TTCTACATTAGCAGCCACCACATCCCTTCCGGAATGCCGCCTTCATTCCAAACCACACACACGTGGACAGGGGCTAAGGATTTGTCTCCATCGTGGGGCCCGGGGGCCTGAGTCATTCTGTTGACCTTCCAAACCCTTGGTCTTGCTGTTACAGATTTAGGTACAGCATCCTCTCCCATCCCAGGGCCGAGCGTCTCACCTTCTCCAGGCTGAGAGCGAGCTACCTGTGGAGTGGACCAGGTCCCCAGGGACCAGAGCCTTCCCCCTGTGGGTCTAGGATGCGGTCTCTGAGACCAGCCCAGAGCAGAGGCCCAGCAGAGCACAGGAGCGCGCACTGCGGTTGATAGTTCTCCAGGGCAAAGAGGAAATGTATAAAGAGGAAGTCTGTTGAGGCAGAGGGTGCAGTGGCTGAAAGCAGACAGCTTGACCCACAAAGAAAGGCCGCGGGGACCCGGAGAGAGAAGGCCGGCCTGGTTGATCAGAGAGGTAGGAGATACGGAAAGGAGCCAGTGAGGCTGGGGGAGCCAACCGGCAAGTGTGGGTGGGGAAGGGCTCTGCTGGGACGGACATCAGCTCCCTCCCAGCCCAGCTGGACCCCCGCGGGGCTGCGTCCAGGCACCTCCATCTACTGCATTGTTTGGACCTCGGCAGATAGGTTGCAAATGTCTATCAGAGAGAACTGCTCTCTGGGATGTGTCAAACCAGGTGCCCCCAGTTGGTTCAGAAAATACTGCCCCTGGGCTCAGAGGTCATCATTTCCACCACGACCACCCCTCTCCCACTGGACAGACACCCCATCACTGTGTTCTGGGTCCTGGGACAATCCTGGGGGAAAGGAGGTGGGGTGGGCAAGGGGCCCAAGAGAACTCTTAGAGCCCAGAAAATGCTGCCGTCTGAGGGACCTTCATGGAATAGTTTATGGAAAAATAGAACTGAACTGAAGCCCCCTCGTGTGCATGCAAAGAAAGAGGAGAGTGAGGTATGGCTCCTGGGGAATGACTGGGGCCGGGGGGAGGGGGGTGGCTCCTGGGGAAGGACTGGGGCCGGGGGGCCCTCCACGGGGAGTTTATGTCGCATAGATTCTTTGTCTCATTCGTTGCTCTGTTCTTGGTGGCTCTGTGTCGGACCCATCGTAGATGCTCAGTAACTATTCCGTTGAATGAATACATGAGAGAGCTCCTGAGATTTTGAAGGGCGGGAAGGACTTTGCTGGCTGTAAGGAGGAGGAGAGCATTCTGGCCAGAGGAGACCGCAGGCCAGAGGCCTGAGCAGGACATGGTGCGCAGTTCAGGGTCAATTCTTTGCTGAGCCAAGGGAGACCTTTCCATTCCTTAGCAAGGGAAGCAAAGGAAACAGCAGCTATTTGAAGATACACATGGCAAAGAGGGAGAGAAACAATGAGAAATAGAAAATATAGTCATGAGAGGGGTCAACCTTATCAAGCCTGGAAATAATTGTAAATGGCTTATTACACTCACTTATCACAGTCCTTGAAAGTCATATCGTCAAAAACTTTGTAATGACTCGGGGAAATTGCTATGATGCAATGTCGACGTCATGTAATGCTAAATGTCACCTGGAGACAGGAACGAGCCACTACTGTGTAGGTGCACACAGCTTTAGTGTTGTAATTGGGACTTTTTGAATGCCTACGTTTAAAGGACAGGCTTGAGGGGGACCCCTCCAGTGGTCACTGTGGTCACCTATACGGTGGTGGCTTTGTGAGTGGCTTTCCTCTTGTTTATACTGCTCTGCATGTTCTAAGTCCCTACAATAAATAGCAACTACGTCTACAATTAGGAAACTATGAATCACAAATTGTGGTTGATGGGGTGGGGGGAATAAAGGGTGTCCTGATTTGAGGGGTATTTGGCGTAGTGGTTACTCAATGAGCTGCAATCCGCAGGGTCGGCAGTTCGAAACCACTAGCAGCCCCTCGGTAGAGAGACTGGGCTTTCTGCTCCCGTGAACAGTCTTGGAAACCCAGTGGGTCAGTCGCTGTGAGTCAGTAGCCATGAGTTTGGTTGGTGGGAGCCGAGAGGTCCCTGGTGGGAGAGTGGTTATGCACTGGGCTGCTGCACTCAGGGTCGGCAGTTTGAAACCACCAGCTGCTCTGCGGGAGGAAGATGGGGCTTTCTACTCCTGTGAAGAGTTCCAGTCTTGGAACCCACAGGGCAGTGCTAGCTGGTTCTAGTGGGCCGCTATGACTGGGTTTTCAGTTTGGTTTGGTTTGGATGAGCACTGATACTGTAAAGGAAGCTTGGGATGCTCTGAGGGGCTGGGCGTTTGACTTGATTTCTGAAGGCCTGGGGACATTAGCGCACATTCCACCCGCTCCACTCCTCGCTCCCTGGGCCCCAGTAAGTGGTAAGTGACAGCCCCCCCGCCAGCTGCTCAGACAACGGCCCTCAAAGCACCCTGCTCCCGTCGAGATGGGCAGTCCGTCATGAAGAGTTGGAGTCAACTCATTGGCACTGCGTTGGGTTTGGGTTGAGCTAATTTAGGAGGTGAAGGCAATATGCTCTACGGAAAGCCTTTGGCATCAAGTGGGCCCGAAGAATACTTTCTGATGAAGATGGAATGGCTTGAAAGAGTCTTGAAGCCTGCCTTCTCCGAACTTTCCTCACGTCAACGGTGTGGAGGAACAGCTGCTTGGGGGAAATGAAATCTTGGTACCAAGATGGATGGGACTCACTCCTCGGAGCTGGCTTAAGATCCCACCTGAAACCTGCAAAACTCAACCAGGAACCTCTGT